ATCAAATTATAGCACATTCCCAGATCAAGTGGATCATATTATATAATATGTTTAATTGAACTTTTGCATTTTTTTGTAGTATATTTTTAACCTAACCTAACCAGTGACTCACGGACATAATACATTTTTAAAATTGATCATTAACTACAGAAAATGTGTATTACCAATTATCATTATATTACATTTTAAGTTTTCTATWATCATTTGTTAACCTGATTCAGTTTGAATAGATAGTCAAATGATTTTTTAAATWAAAATACAACACAAAAATACTTGCCAATCTTGTAGTTCTAGGTAATATAGTGACCCTATTTGTATTAAAGCACAAACCAACAATTGCAAAAACAGTGGTATTAAGTTTTTTGCAGTCAAAATTTTTGACAAAGGACGGTGAGGATGAACTTTGTCAGTAGGTTCAATATCACCCATTACAATAGCTAATGATGTAGTAAGAATAAAATCAAAGTATAAAAATTGGAAATTTCCCAGCATAATACCTTTCTGAAAATATAAAAAAATTATGTTATTATAGTCAAATGCAACTTGATACTTTGTAAACAATAGCGATTATTGTACCTACGCTGTAAAGTAAAACTAATGTAATAAACTGTATTAAACTGTAGCATGTCATATATTTAAATATTCCAAAACTAGTCACTAGAGCACATCGTCCTTCTCGTATTATTTTAGTTACGCATGAGACATTTGTTATTTGAGAAGTAAATGGTGCTGCTATGGATGCTTCAGCTTGTGAAAGTGATATGCCAACATGAGCAACTTTTAATGCCTATAAAGTATAAGCAATGATTGATATTRATGTTCTTCATATATTTATTTGATAAAACTCCTATTCATACCCCAGCATCATTTGCTCCATCTCCACACATAGCTGTCACATAGCCCATACTTTGAAAATGCTCCACAAGCTTTACTTTTTGCTCTGGTAACATTCGTCCAAACACAAGACCTTTTGAGACTACATACGGTAACCAACTCGGAAAATCTGACTCCAAAACAGACCACGACCTTCCATCAACTGCATAGTATACCTTTTCGTCTTGCATCTATAAATAAATAAATACATCATACATTTTTAAAGAAAAGCCAATAAAAATTAGTAAAGTTTTTAATATTTAAATAATTACATCCAAGTTATGCCCTAAAGTAGGCTCAAGTTTTATTTCTGCTTTAGTTAATTCAGTACTAGGGGTTGCTGTTAGTACTGCAATATTTATATTAGATGGAATCATAGAACACTCTCTTGCGACACTTAATCCAGTATATAAATTATCACCTGGAAAAAAAATTATGTTTAAACAATATGATAGTCTTTTTGAAAATTAATAAATGTAATTTATAAAACTTT